TACAGCTTCTGCAACCTGTACAAATAAAAATCGCAATTAAATTATATATACACACACATATATATATTGAAAGCTCGATACATACCTCTTCTACTGGTATTGCCTCTGAACATTCATGAACTTGATCAAAGTAACCGCACTGATTTATTTTTGCAATAATTTCTTTCAATTTGTTATAAGTAGTGCCAACAACTTCACGTTGTTTTCCATCCACAATAGCCACATAGTGCTCTGCTACTTTTTGGGCTTGTTGTATAAATGTTGAGTCATCTTCTTCACGTTGATGTTTCATAATTACTTCAATATACAAGTTCTCCAGGTACTTTAACTCCTCTTCCGACAGTTGTATAGCCCCGTTTGTTCCTTGAGTGAAGTCATTTCTAATGGAATCAGTGGCCATGCTTACCAAGATGTGTTGAATAAGTAGTACCTCTTTCACCTACAACCATGTCACAAACACATTTCAATATTTTCTTGTACTCAATATTAAATATAGATAAAATTATATTTTAAATGTTGATGCATACTTTTGCAATGTCTTGCTGCATACGCTCGACAGCCTCCTTCCTTGCCTGTTTCTTCTGCTGCTTAACCGAATCATTGGCAATGGTAACAATTTGTTTGTACAGATCCCGAGTATTGTCCAATGTTTGAAGCACTTCATCATATTTGGCCACTGCTATCTTCTGGTCTGAATTCAACTCCCTTCCATTTTTCTGCAAATCCCTATATGATTCGAGCCTGCCCTAAATTCAGAAAATTATATTTATAGATTTATCTCTTTTTATAGATAGTCACTAATTATTCTTTCCTTCTCTCTGTGTATATATATCGCTCAATATTATTTTATAACTTATAAATCTTATATTTATATGTCAAAACAGAACATTATAAAACCAGATATATCAGAAAACATGATACAAGATGTAGCAAATTACAAATACATATAAAAAAATGTTAAAACAATTTATTATCTTATTTTCAAGCACAAGAAAATACGTAATTTTACAGATATCCCGTGATATGCATATACGGTGAGACCGTGCGATACGATTCGATATACCAGCGTTCGCCGCGATCGAACCGACCGAAACAGGGAAACGCCAATTATGAAACGAGGATTTTGCCTCGCGTTGCAAGATTCGCATTCGTAAACGAACTCGGTACATCGGTACGTATCGACCATGGTGTCCCGGTGACGATGTTAAAAAGTACATCGTGACAAAGACAAGTCTCGTGCGAATAATAGAAGATACACCGCCATGATACGATGTCGCCGATGGCAAAATTGGCGCGTTCAGGGGTTCGGAATTCCATCGTCGGTTCTATCACGCGTCGCCGACAACTTCTCCGAGGTTCGATAGCGGACGAGATACGGACGAGACGATCTCGATGCGCGTTGTAAATACTCGGGAAAATATCGAGGAGCGAGCACATGGCGCATCGGGATCATGGCGGATCGCACGGTGAGGTAGCCACGGCGATTGACAGATCGACTTTTGTCTGTTATTACGACGAGCCGGGTCGCGATGTTGCATTTACCTTACGCTTCTCGAGATTCCGTATCTTATGCTCGATTACGATGATTACTTGGCGTAGGGGTTCCACGGTCTCCGTAGAGGCCTGTTTCTCTAGTTTAGGGTTGGCAGAAGGCATCCTTCACGGGCAACAAACACGAACTGGAAATCCGAACGGTAAGCAAATTGAAGCAAGTCGCAAGAGGAGTGGTGGGGATGGTGGGAGTAGCGAAACGGCGTGATGGAGGGCCCAACATTATCAAACAATGAGAATTCGCATGTGCAGCGATAGATACTAAAGCCCGTAATCAGACTACGTATTGAAAACTAAAGATTAGAATTCGACAGAACAGAAGGAGTTAAAATTTCTTTAGCCCAGATATACAATAGGAGCAGTAAGCCTCAAGCCATAAGAAATTGATCAATCACAGTCAAATGTGAAGAGAATAATCAATTATTATTGGTAATTTTTTTACAGCTAGGCTTACTACAACTATTGTAGATCCGGCCTTATCCTAATTAGTCAAATTTTGATCTTTAATCTTCAATCTTTAATGCGTAGTCTGATACGAGCTTAATGGGTTGCGTTCCAAAATAGAATAGCGTTCGATTGATCACTCAGGACAAAGAAAGTTTTGTTTCTTTTATCCTGATTGGTCAATGGAACACTATTCTATTCCAAATTTTGGAACGTAACCCAGAGATGAAAATGTTAATTAAAATCTACATTGAATCTATCTGTTGCGTGTAAGTCAAATATCAGATGCGGTGTAAATCTTTCATAATATCTTTTTTTTCTATAAAATTTCATAACATCTTTGCTTCTGGGTTAGGTTAGGTTAGGTTAAATATTTTCTGGGATTCTCTTAAATATTTTTGGGTCGTATCGTATGTCTAGATGTTTATCTATCATTGCCGTTGGTTTTGAAACAAGGCGGCAATTTTATAACACATAGTTTCACAGGTATAAAAAAAAAAAAATTATTATATGATAATATAACTATTGAGATTAAATCCATTTTCATTGATGATAATATTGCCGATTCCACTTAATGTGTTTGCATGTAGTTAAAGTGAAAAATGTATCTGTATGAGCTAAGATTGGCCGCGTTCAGCAGAGAAAGCGCTCAGTTATCGTCTTGTCAACGCTTGACGTTGATTCGTTGGTTCTAAAAGTAAGAACCAATCACATTCGATCGCTACTAAGCGGTTTTCTCTGCTGAACGCGGCCATTGTATCATTGGGTGCGTTCAGGAAACACAATCGTTGGGTAGCAATCGAACGTGATTGGTTCTTACTTTTAGAATCAACAAATCAACGTGTTGACAAGACGGTTGTGTCTCCTGAACGCACCCATTATGTTCGAATTAAAGATCAATTATTCTTAAAGAATAAAAAAAAAAAAAATACAAATTATACGTATATATATGAAACATATACACACACAACGCAGACACTACGTCTCGCATAGTAGATAAAAATCCAATAAAGAGAAAGGTTACAAACGATACGTTTTAATGACTATCATTGCAATTGTTGTTTATATTTTAAGGCTGTACAAAATAAAAGTACGATACTCGTATATAGTTTTACGGATTTCTCCATATTTTATTGAAAAAGTGGTTAATAAAAAACATAAATATACGAGTAATATTTTATTATTTATAATATTTTGATCATATCTTTTTTCTTGATTGCGCGATAACAAAAAATACTGCAAGGTCATTTTTCGTCTTATTAATAATTTTTCATAATTAATTTGCACGAATGAGAGAAAGCGCTAAATAATTTACAATCGAAGAAAAATTATAATTCTGGATAATTCCTATAGGAAAAGAAATATAATATTATTAATAGTTTTGCTTAATATATAATATTGACAATAACTGTAGATTGTATATCAAGGCTTCTGGTTCCTCTGCAAACGTCATATTGAATTACGAAAGGCAAAAAATTATATTCGTGATTTCTTGTCTTACTAAATACACTAAAATAAATCAATTTTTTCCTATGCCACCATTTGTATGATAGTATGGACTAAAATATATCCGAAAGACTCTTCTCATAGAATAATAAATAATTGTAAGTTTTTTTCAACCATCTAAATCAATTTTAGATTTCAATTCATATTATTGAATAAGAATGGTAGAGCATATAAAAAAAGATTTTGACATATACAAATTCCGCAATTACAGTTTCTCGTTTTTGATATCGTAATTCAATATAGCTGCAGTGAGAAAACAGATACCTTAAGCGAGTACTACGTGCGATAATGCAATCTTATGGAAGAGGATTCAATCGAACCATATATTCACAATCGATTTATATCATCGGTCGAATTATCGCACGCAATATGAAGATTACGCCCGATATGAACTATTGCATGGCACATTCGCTGAAAAAAAATCTTCCGTAGCTACATATTTTACTTTATTTGTTAGGTATTCTCTGCGTCAGTGTCCAAATGCCCGCATTTTAGCTCTCATTTGTCAATATATAAATCATCCGATAATTTATTGTACAACCGATCATCATCGGCATAATCGTCAATACGCGATTTTTTAATTTGTCGAAATATACGAAACGTGTTTAAAATCTTCGTCCGCCGATACGCAGCAGCTGATCATTTCCTCACTCTCTCTCGCTCTATTATATCTTTACAATTTACAAATATAATTTGATACATCATCTTTGAAAAATACATTCGTTCCATACATGCATATCACCTTTCTGCTCTTTAGAAAACATTCATTTTTTTCTTTCTAATATAAATCTAGAAACAAGTTAAAAACTTAAACAATTAAAGATTTAAAACAATGAAAGTGATGATATAATAATAATAATAATAATAATAATAAATTTTATATAGAGTAAGCACAAATGTCGCTTGAAGTGTATATAATGGATTTAATATACAACAAAGTTCTTATCACACTATCCTAAGATACTTATCAGCTATTGGAAAGTATCTATAGAAGCGGCCTTAACATATAATACACAATGCAAATGTATAAATATTTCGCTCTAATTCAAACACAATTGAGTTTTGATCTTTGAGAATGTCCCATGTGAGTAAAAATATTCTGTCGATGAAAACATAAAAATAATTTTGAGTGATTTTCTAAAGCAAGGGCATTTTACTTATTCCTTGTTAATAAAAATTATTTCAATGTGTATTTAGCATATAAAGAAAAGTTATTCCAATGTCGTATCTTAATCTTCGATAACTAATTATTCTTGTTATTTGTTACATTCATTTTTCAATTTTTAAAATTAATAATTTTAATATCAGAAACAGAAAATATCAATGTGTAGTAAATGTTGCAAAATGTGGAATAAGAATACAAACACACTAAGAAGAAAGGAATTAACATTAGAATAACAACAATCTTTCCTTTTAACAAACGCTCTGCAACACAAAATATGTTTAACTCCGTTTATGCATACAATGCTCTAATATGGAAGAATTTGCATACATACATTACATTATTATATTGCATGGGAAGAGATGTATTTGCTGAATATGTTGTATGAAACATACAAACAAATAATATTAAATGTAAATATAAAAAATTGTATCTATTATAGAGCCTTATTTTGAAATATATTAAATATAAGCATAGATTTATTTCTTTATAGTTTTATAACCATTTGTCATTTTTATATTTTGTGTAATTGTATGTATGCGCACATAAGATAAAATTTAGAGCATATAAAAATTGTGAAATTATTTGGAACGATAATTATTGTAAATTGCTCTGCGAAAAGATTGTGCTTATATATTTCTTTGTAAAATACTCAGAAAAATAATATAGAGCGCTCTCTATATATTATACGAAAATTATAATTTCGTTATTTGATAAAATATGATAAAATATGATTCAGAAACTAACGACGTTTAATATCACGTCATATCACTATAATATTTCAATATGTTTTGGATTTTATCATATATCGAAGCTTATATAAGATCATCACGATACAAAGACTAAACTAGATGCCTATATTCACATGAATATTAGTTTCTGCTATTATTATTATGCTATCATTATGCTATAATGGCAAATTTCGAGCTAAAGCTAAACTTCTATATCAAATGTGAATATGTTACATATGTATGTATGTGTGAATTTCTTCCTCTTGTGCTTACCTGATATATATACTATGGCTTATCATTATAACTACAGTCTCTCGATTACACTTTTAATTCATTTCTCACGATTATAAATAAAATTCTTCACTGTTACCATATGCGAGACATGTGTTTTATTGGTGTCGATATTGGCAATAAACGTTCGTGCGTTATCAGGGATTCATCACTGAACTCGTAACAGTCTTGATGCGTTTTGCATTAAACATAAACACTTGTCATAATACCACTAAGATGGTTCACTGCCCATTTGCACATCGCTAGATATTGATTGGGGATTCTTTTCGGTATTTTGTATAGGCACCTGTGAATCAGAAGTATTAGCAGTCTCTTTAGACGTAAGTACGGTAGGAGCAGTCATGATTGCTGTCTCCGTTTTATGATATTGTTTCATTGATGACGACAAAATTGTTTTCGGTTTCGCTTTAGCTTGCTGCTCCATGCTATCAATTTCAGCCCAAATGTTCCTCACTTCTTTAAACAGCTAGAAAAGACAAAAAAAAAGTTTGTTTTTGTTTGACAATAAAGCATTCTTATAGCCGAGTTAGTAAATAAAAAATATACTTACTTGATTCAACCATGCTTCATCTGCTAATAATTCGTTTAATATTATTGTAGTGTCTTTGTGTGGATCAGCCACCTTTTTATCTGCCACTCTTCTTGCACATTCCAAAAACATTAAATATTTTTGATGAGCGACTTTATTGTACAAGGCTACCTTCTTTTGGCAAATGCGGCACAACAAAAAATCCTAGAGAGACAGATATGAGTGAATAATAATCGACACAGATTTTGTTGCGTTATTACATTTCATTTGTGCATTATTTACTTTTTCATGAGGTACTCTTGGATCTGGTGGCGAACCTTCCAATGTAGTACCATTGTATGGTTGTCCATAAAGCAGAATTCTTGCATGAATTCTAGTTTGCTGACAACCAGCACAACATTTCCCTTTATTTTCTGAAGGCGGTAGGTCTTTAAGCACATTAACACATGGCCACGTCGATAATGCTGTCACGACATTCGGTTTCCATTTGGTCGTGGACAAAAGGCGACGTTTTCTCTCTTCCGTTACTTCATCGACAATTTTAACGTTAGACAGAAAATAATCATCTAAACAACAATAAAAAAAAGAAACATATGTTATCCTGCTCGACAGCAAAGGTATTATGGTTATTTACCTACATATAATTATTATCACATTGTAACATGCATGTAAAAATATGAAATATCGATTTAATTTCGTCTCACCTTGTTCTTGAAATATTTCAGTAAGGAAATTGGAGTCCAAAGCTTGCGAGATCAATGTCTGTATGTATACTTCGAAATTATCTTGATACCTCTCAGTATCTTTCATAGATTTATCAATATTCTCACTAATCAGAGACAAAAATATATGTTATACAAAATCTATAAAACATCTCGAAAGATTTGAGATATTTTTTCTCGTACACAAGAGTATTTACCTGTCATCAACAATCATCTCGTCCCTCAAAAATTCCACAATTGTTTCTATCTTGCCCTGTTGCCAGAATTTCACCGGCACTTGTTGATATATGTGGCGGTTTTGTGAAACCCATGCAGAATACTATAAAATTCGTATTGTAAAATATTTAATTCGTACTTGCTGCATAATATGTTTTAAAACAATTATAAATTTACCGTAGATATGTTTCTGTACAAAGTTTTTCCATTGGATTTGAATGGCTCATATTTTTGGAGCAATGTTTTACCATCTATCCTCCAAAGAGGAGGATATTCTTCATCCAAATCTGTCTTAATCACAACAAATTCGCCAGACTGAAAAAAATGAGGAAAATTATTAGCCTCTAATAAAAAATTTATGTATATTATTTAGCAAATTTTAACCAGAATAAAATTGAAGAGATTTACCACATCTTCTGAGTTGCCTAAATGCTGCATGTAAAGTATGAAATTAATAAGATTATTAATTAATTTATTTTTGCAAGGTATAGCCAATATAATAATTTGTTCAGACCTGATTTTTTCTATTTGGTTTAATTTTACATAAAATTGAAGAAATATATATGAAAAGTTTTACATATGAAGCAGTATTTATAATAAAAAATCAAAGATTATATATACATTAAGAAAGATAATATGAGAGAATAAAAGAAAATAATTCTTATAAAAATAATGTATTAGATCTGAAAAAATTAAATTATCACAGAATAACGTTAGATACCTTAAATGGCGAAATATCAATATCCTCGTCACTTGCTGCCGCTACTAGTTTCTCGTCAATCTTACAAGAAAGTTTGCCAGTACTCGAATTTTTTGAAGGCATCTCGTGTTTCTTTCTCGTTGATTTTTTCGAAATGATAGCTTCCCCAGACGAATACCCGTCTTCCTCTAAGATTTTTCTAATCTTTTTAGTAATGACTGGCCTCACGCGTTTCTTCCTCTTCTCTTCTTCGTCCCCGACTAATTTCACAGCAGGCGTCCACGCTGGATCAGAATCGGAATCAGCCTGTTCCTCGTCATTGTCGAAATAATCTATACCCTGTTGCCGATCCAAAAATTGTTTTACCGATGTCTTTTCCTTTGCCTTTCTTCTCGACGTCTCGCGTCTCGGAGGAAGTAAAAGTGGATCCACTATACGAAATACACATGCAATTTTAAAGCCATGAAAAGTGTAAATTTCAAAAAAGGAAGATTTATATACTAAAGATATATTTACGTTACCTTCTTCAATTTTCTTCGAAGATTTTTTCTCCGCTTCTACTGCTGCTGCTGCCGCCGCTGCTGCAGCAGCTTTTCTCTTCCTATCTGTGGGTCCACCAGGCTTAATAGGCCGACCTTTTCTGCCTTTGCCTTCCGGTTTTACAGCAACAACTTCGATATTACTCGTATTATTCGTATTCTGCACTTTCTTTTCAGTTTTCTTAGGGGGAAATAGAAAGTCATCGTCGCTAGTAAATCCATCATCACTCGAATCAAAGTTCGCTTTTTTTCTTTCCTTCGGTAACGGAAAATACCTAGGATCATTAGCATAGTCTATCACCGGCGTTTCCTTAACCGGTGTCTCCTTAACTAGCGGTTTCTCTTGAGGTTTAACAGTCTCGCCGTTAGTCGAAGCTTCCGCGGGTTTACTCGGCTCAACTGGTATATACGGCTTTGACCTATTCCACGTCGCTTTTCTACCACCGCGTATAGCAGGTGGTGGAGAAGGATCCCTTTCACCTTGCAGGAACTTTAAATAGCTCGTCATAAAACCCGTATTGGGATCCTTGCTGGGCCGTTTGAAGTCTTTATTCATTTGACTTGTATTCTGCATCAGTTGCTGATCTTGTTGAAGAAAACCGAGTTCCTCTTCGATATTAGGAACGACTACCTTAGGCTGGTCGTCTCTGACCTCTTGATTGTAATTGGGGTTTTGATTCGCGACATTCTCAGCACCGAATCCTATCGACGTAATTTCAACAGAGGGCTGAAACTCGTGCGGATGATGCGGATGGTGACCCGCGGGGATATGGAAAGCCGGGAAATAAGGGATAGGTGGCGGCGCGTGATGATGCGATACCATCAACGACTGATGTTGGTGAGCCGGAGTATTTGCAAAGTTACTCGAGTGATGTAACGAAGACTGTGAACCGAAGGCGCCAGACGCGGCGGGAAACATCTTGGTGGGTGGGGGCGGTAGATTCCACCGTTCAAAGTCGAAATAGCCATTCTGCTGTTGTTGATTCGCTGCGTTGTGATGCGCTGGCGGAGGTATCCTACCGAGGTATTCCGTCATCGTCGTAGTTCCCGTAAGCTCGTTCGGTGCCGTACCGTGACCAGCAGCCTTTTCCAAACTTTTTCTCTTTTTATTAGCATTGTCGGCCTTTCGTCTGTTTTCCTCAGCCTGCTTTTGTTGTTCCGTCGTGCTGGTCGTAACGATCGTTGCATGCTGTTGCACCTGACAAGGACCCTGTTGCAATGTTTGCAAGTTCTTCACGATACTCATTGGATCCCCCCTGCAACTGCTCAAGTCTTGCAACGCTACTTGATTGGACTCAAAATACGGTTGCTGTCTGCTATCCGACATGTTCACCAGCCTTTGCACTTGTTGCTGCTGAACTGACAAGCTCTGCGCGTTTATATCTCCTGTGTTCGCACCGGTATATACGGCGACGGAGAACTTTCTGTTGCCATTCGTCGTTTGGCGGTTATCGTTCTCCCAGCAGACCTGTTGCTTCTGCGTCTGCGAAAAGTCTTGCTGTTGGCCGTCGTATGTCGTTTTACTCTCCGCGTTGTAAGCGGTTTTACTATTCTCCGTGCTAGTACCTAACGCTCGTGTAATCACCGAAGAATACGCGACTTGTCCCTGCGATGACGGCCTGGGAACGGTAACATCCAGAGGTGACGGTGGAGTGACTTGTTGTTGCACTCCGCCTTTGTACGGCTGTGCAGCATTGGTGCACTGATTACCATTGTTTTCGGTATGTTGTTGCAACGGCGACGGTGACGACATGGTTGCCATCGGACTGTTGTACATGGGATACGCGGGACTTGGCACGTGACCCAGAGGACTGGCCTGCGAATGAGCCTGCAGAGGACTCGGTCGTCGGGGAACAACGACGCTGCAGTCGGGTCCGTTTTGCGTCGAGGTATTGGAGGAATAAGCAGAATCTGTCGAAGTCGCGGACTTGGATCTGCCTGGATGATGATATTCTGTATCGTTCGTTCCCGATCCCGTTAGATAATGTCTGTAAGATGTGGCTTGTTGCTGTTGTTGATTCAAAACATGAAATGCCTGCTGCTGCTGCTGTTGCTGCTGAGGATGCGACTGTAAATTGCTGTTAGACGGCGTCCTCTGGCTGTTTGTAAGCTTGCCGCTTGAGTTGTTGCAGTTCGTGGAATTATTCGCCGCGTAGTTCAAATTGCGATTGTCCATAATGGAGAAACTGATCGGTGACGATTGATTATTATCGTGTTGCTCGTTTCTCCGATGTTCGACTCCGTGGCTCCCCAATTCCGGATAAATCTTGGTTTGCGCTTTAGTTTGGATATTCTGTTGAGCAGTGGCAGTCGCCGCTTTGTTAGGCGGGGACGCAAAATTGCGCGTTCCCTGCTTATCTTGCTGAAACGCTTGCGTAGAACCCGAGC